ACACAGAGAGCCCTATTTGATATTTCCATGAGAACAACGGGTTTGGAATAATCCTTGGTGGCTCTGAATCCATCTGTTCTCATTATCCCAAGAAATTGTGTTTTCTAGTGCAGCTTCCAGGCTGACCTAACTAATTAAATTTCAATACTCAGGCTAGATTTCAATCAGAAAACACAAGTGCCACCAACAGATGTTTGCTGACCAAATTTCTCAAAAAAGGACACTAAGAAGAACCCTTGCATAGCGTCATCTCCTTTGTACCTTTCCAGAGTGTTGACTAGGTTTCAAGGAAGCCTTTTTAAAACGTTTTACAAAATAATATTTTTTTCACCACGGTAGTCAATGTCACCTAGACATGCCTCAAAACACAATGCGTGTTTCGATTTAGGCTATTAACAAAAAAATAAATAAATAAATTCTCAATCCCTGGTGAGTTGTCCATGTTTGGTCAAGCTGGATTCAGCTGTGGAATCATCTAGAATTTCTGCCAGAAACTCATCTCAGCTGAAATTCCTGAAGGCTCTAAAGAAAGAGGAAAAGGTTGTTTTTAAGAGGTACCTTAAGTGCATTACAAAGGAGGATTTCACTATTTTGAATCTCTGGAAATAGAAAATGTAAGGATTTCTTTCTGTTGTTTTGTTTGTTCCTAGGACAGATTTTAAAGAAATCTGAGGTCCATGTGTTCCTTTTTTTTTTTTTTTTAAGATTTTATTTATTTATTTGAGAGAGAGAATGAGATAGAGAGAGAGAGCATGAGAGGGGTGAGGGTCAGAGGGAGAAGCAGACTCCCTGCTGAGCAGGGAGCCCGATGCAGGACTCGATCCCCGGAGTCCAGGATCATGACCTGAGCCGAAGGCAGTCGCTTAACCAACTGAGCCACCCAGGCGCCCGGTCCATGTGTTTCTTAAGATGGATTTACAGTTGGGTAGTGGGGTAGAAATAACAGCAAGGGGTTACTCTCTCGAGTAACTCTCTCTCGAGGGGGCCCAGGGCTCCAAGGGTCAGAGCGCCAGGCTCAGGACTTGGAACTTAGAGATGTTTGGGGAGTTAAGAGCCCAGGTCTGTCGCTAGTATTATTTCAGGTCAGTTATGGACTATTTTGCGACTGACCTAGGTTCTAAACACCACTTGAGATGCTCGCTTCCATGAGAAAATACATTCCAAATTCCACGCCAATTTCTGGAATATAATCTGTTAGTAAAAAGGATACAAAATATATTTCTATATAAAAAGTAGTATGTACGAACATACAAGAGTCTGTAACATATTTGAGTGTATGGTATCTGCTTTCATAGGTGAGCGGATGCCATCTACTTGTTTCTCCGTTCTTCGTTACAGTCAGCCTTGTTTGTGACATGAAGGGGGCTGCTGTCAGGGATCAGTCATCTGGCATCTCATCAAATCCGTTAGCTCTGCTGATGCTTGTTCGGAGCCCACGCACAGACATTAGCCTCAGCGCCGTGATGTGCATGCACTGTGCTAGGTGCTGTTTCAAAGCAAAAATGGGATCTTAGCAAAGTGGCGCATAAATGTTTATTTTATGTCTTATTTCAAGGCCTCTTCTATTAAAGATCTGTGATCCAGAAATAAATAATTATAATATATGCGTATATGGTGTATGCATTCTATGATATGGTAAGTGATGCACATTTTTCAGGGACTAACCCTGTGTCATATGGCCAACAATGCTTGTTAATGGAACTGGTTAATAGATTTTTATTAAATGAAATTTTTTAAAGCATGCAATCCTCAAATAACCTGTTATCTTACTATTGATCACAAATTATATATTTAAAGAATTATTTTTTTAAAAAATTAAAATTTATTTATTTGAAGGAGAGAGAGCAGAGAGAGAGACACACACACACAAGGGGGGAGGGGCAGAGGGAGAGGGAGAAGCAGACTTCCTGATGAACAGGGACCCCTATGCGGGCTCGATCCCAGGACCCTGGGATCATGACCTGAGCCGAAGGCAGCCGCTTAACCAACTGAGCCACCCAAGTGCCCCCAAAGGTAACTTTTTTCTATTGGAATTATATAAGATGATTGACCTATGACCCCAATTTTATCCCAAAGTAGAATATATGCCACAAGGAATGGAGGGGAAGCCTCAGGTGGGCTTGTGGAGGGAGCCCAGACACTCTAGATCTGGGGAGCAGAGCAGGACTTGCCCAAGCTCAGATTCCCTCCACACAGGGCCTTGCATCTCAACGACCACACTTCCTTACAATGGGCACAAAATGGGGTAAAAGAGAAGATGGCTTGGTTTTCTGCTGAGGCTGTGAGGTCTCAGGATGGGGTCCCCTTAGGGAGTTTGGGTCTTTGTTTCTTGAACTGTTGTCACTGTATCCTCCTCACCTGAACTCCCACCTTCCTGAGCATTTGAGGATCCCATGCCTGAATGAATTGTCCTGCCTGGCAGGCCCCCATGTTTTCTGGGGAGAGGACATTCACATGAGAATGTGAATAACAGGTATTCTAGGAAAGTGTGTGACGGAAATGCTACAGATGTGGTGGTGATGGTGTAATCTTGTGAATATACTAAAAAACTACTGAGTCGTACATTTCAAAAGGGTGAATTTATGGTATGTGAATTATACCTCAATTTAAGAAAATACCTGACAGACCAATTCAAGAATTCAGAGGAAAGGAGTCCCTTGGTCTGTCAGAGATGTCACGGAAATGTTGGTCCTTGAGCAAGGCCTTGAAAGCAAGGAAGGACTATGGGGAGAGTCAGGAAGAGCCGAGGGAAGATGAGGAGGGTGGGAAGTGCATGGCTCCTACCAGGAGATGGTCAGAGAGGGGAGCACAGGAAGAAAGGGACAGAAGGATGGAAATAGTAGTTGGGGTCAGAGTATAGAGGCTTTGGTGTTGGTCCAAGCAGCATATGGACAAGAAAAAGCCTTTGACAGTCTCCTGCCTGGGATCTGACTTGTGCCTAGCATGGTTGGAGAAGATCAATTTGCCTAGGTCACATGGGATGGACAGGCATAGGAAAAGCTTTGGGAGACCTCTTGGCAGCCATCATAACACTCTGGCGAAGATAGTGAAGAGAGCAATCCAGTAGAAAAGAAGGACAGATTTGATCGATACAAGAATAGACAGGACTGGACACCTGACTGGGTATGGAAAGTAATGAAAAGTCAAAGACCTCCTAGAATTTTCAGTCTAGGACCCTACTAGGGAAGCAGCAACTGGTTTGGGGAAAAAGATGTGGAGTTCAATTTTAGGCATTCTGAGTTTGGGGTGATGATGGAACATCTAAGTGGACACTGAGTCAAGAGTAGCATGACACATCAGAAGCAATTCATGTACCGGTAAGGAAACTAGGCACAGAGGCTCTACCCATCGCCCAAGGGTTGGAGAGCTAGTTTCAGGCAAGCCAGAGCCAGAATCCTGTCTGAAAACTCTTTCTCCTCCTAGGCAGCTGGTTCAGATGTGGGCTGGCACTTGGAAGGGAGGTGATCTGGGAGACAGACAGGCTGAAGGCCACTGCGGAGGCAGGACGAGAAGGTATTGGGAGTGGCAAAGTCTCTGCAGGGGAGGAGAGCAAGGAGAGCGAAGGGCAGAGGGCATGTCCTCCTTTAGGGAGTATGAGAAGGAAGCAGAATGCAAGGAGGTGCCAACTGGAACAACAGTGTCACTGAGCCAGAGGGTGGGAGCACGGTGGTGAAGCACAGAGAGCTTGCGTGAGGAGCCTAGAGGCCATCCAACCGCAGCTTGCCTTCCCTGCCAGCACAGCCCACCAAGGCAGCGCCATGACGCCAGATGCTTCTGTGATGTTAAAGAGAAGGTAGACCAATGCCACTGGATTTGGCGATTGGAGACCTTGGAGGGCCTGTCTCATGAGTGTGACATGAGGGGATGCTGGGATGAAGGAAAAGGAAGAGGATTTGTTTGTTTGTTTTTGCTTTTTTTAATAGAAGAAAAATGTGGTGACCTAGGAAAAGCAACTAATGAAAAGAGAGAAATTGAAGATGCAAGGCAGAAGGGGCTGGATCCTAGAGGTCATGGAAGAGCATGGGTCAAGCCTACTTTAGTAAGTAGGAACTCACTCCAAAGGGAGAGAAAAATGAAGACAAAGCTTTTCTCGGGGAGAGGAGAATGGATGAACTCAACTGGAGGGTCTCTTTTTCAATAAGGAGGAGGTGAGGTTATCTATTGTGATGTTCTAGTAAATACTCATTTTGTCCTTCTTCCTTAGTCATAGAACCCAGCATTATTTGGGGCAAAAATGTGCCCAGCTAAAACACCGTAATTCCAGCCTCTTTTGCAGTCAGGGGTGGTCATGTGGCTCAACATTGGCCATGGAGAAATCTGAGTGAGATTTGGGAATGGCTCTTTGAAGGGAGACATCTTAAAGTGTCATGTACCCTTTTTGCTCCTTCTCCTCTTTCTTTCCTTCCTGGAATATGGCTTTGATGGCTGGAGCTGCAGGAGCTATCTTGTGACCATGAAGGGACCCTGAGGATGGTCAGTGCTAAGAATGGCAGAACAGAGAGAAAGAGGTCAGGACACTCATGACATTATGGAGCCATCACACTGACTCTGGATTGCCTACAGCTGGACTTATTTTGCATGACAAAAAGATATCTTTGTCTAAGCCACTGTTACTTGGGGATTTCGTTACTAGTAGACAAACACAGTTCTTATCTGACAAGGTTGAAGGCTGGTGTGTGTGTGTGTGTGCGTGTGTGCATGTGTGTGTGTGTGTGTTAGAAGGTGGAACACAGAGCAAATGGATTAGGGGGGTTGAAGTTCTTTGTTGCTCTAAAGTCATTTGTGAATTAAAAAAAAATGAGAATCACAGTTGTAAGAAACCAACCTAGATATTTGTGACCAGAAAATCTATTACTCTTCAGATGAGTGTCTACATAGTGCAAATTCATTGAATGCAAATGGATCTGATTCTTCCCTACACCTTGTTGACCTTGACAATCTTATAAAGGCTGAGGTTTGCATTTGATGCCATTAGCAGTTTTTATTGAAGGAGGAAAATACTTTCTTAATTCATTTCAGGTTTAAGATAGATTCTGCAAACATTGATGAAAACATGAAAGGCACTTAAATAAGCGCAAGTATCTCGGACAACATGCAATGCCCTGTATTATATTGTGTTCACTGTTGTTCAGATTTAGGGCTTTGAATCCACTAAGAATTTAAAACACCTTTTTCCCCCCACCCTTTCACCCCAAAATGTTTGACTAGTGTGAAATACCAAAACAGAATACCCTGGGCAAATGGTAAGCAAGGCTTTAATCTTCCTTTCTTTCTTTTTCTTTCTTTCTTTCTTTCTTTCTTTCTTTCTTTCTTTCTTTCTTTCTTTCTTTCTTTCTTTCTTTCTTTTTCTTTCTTTCTTTCTTTCTTTCTTTTCTTTCTTTCTTTCTTTTTCTTTTTCTTTCTTTTTCTTTCTTTCTTTCTTTTTTCTTTCTTCTTTCTTTCTTTCCTTTCTTTTCTTCTTTCCTTCCTTCCTCCCTTCCTTCCTTTTTTTAACTGCAGCCTAAAACCATCTCCATTCATGTAGAACCCAGAAAACATGTCTCTTTGGATAGGCCATATGGCTTCTTGGTGTAACTATCCATCTTAACATATCTAGGGCAGATAGAGAGTTATTCATTTAGGTCTTCATCAGCAATACCAAGTGTCTCTTAAAAAGTCAACAACGGATAGAAGAGAAGTCTTCATGTTGCACAAGATGCCCATCTGTTTTCCAACCCATTCTGTATGTCATTCCTGGGGTTTATGAGATTGAAAACATAATTCCAATTAAGGCCACTTATCTAGTTTCGTGGCAGCTGCAAATTCAGTTGCTCCAGAAACAATCTAATCTTCAGCCTCCCAATTATTTTCAATGGCTGGATTAATGTACTAACCACTCATCTGAAAATCCATCTTGGCTGTAGAGTGAGCACCGTACAGTGGGCAACTAGACAGAGGATTTACTGAGTTACAAAAAGCCAGTAGCATCTTTGACATTTATTTGAAAGAAAATGACGTTTCAGCTTATTTAATATTTCAATAACTTATTCTTAGAAGACAGAGACGGGGGTGCGTTTCAAGGGAACAGATGGGGTGGTTTTTTGTTTTTTTTTTAAATTTTGTTCTTATGATGGGGTGGTTTTTGATGCAGCCACAGGAAGAACAGCATACAAGGCCGTACCAGGGCTCCGGGACAGGTGGAGGGGACCAGGGGAATAAGAATTCATTTGAAAGGCTCTCTCATTTGGACAGGAATATGCTCGACTCCCACAGCTTACAGGTACTTTATAAAAAATGTAAACATCGATTTGATTTAGGCTCAGCTTCAAAACGGTTTAAGGCATTAATCAAAAGAGTATATTTGACATTTCTTCCCTTTATTCTCTTTTCTTACACGATCAAAAACTAAACAGGTAAGGCAGTAGTCATGTGGTTGAATGAAAGACAACTAACTTTGGAAACTTTCCTTAAGCAACGAATGTGAATTCCTGATACTGTCTAGCTAACTCAAAACCACAAGCCAAGGTGGAAAAGCACTGGGTTTCTGGTGAAGAGGATGATTGTGGGCAGAGCTCAGGAAGGGGGCATCTGAGTTACAGCTCCCCTCCTTGGGGAGCAAGGAGGCTCTGAGACCCGCAGAGGAGCCCATCAGGCTGTGCCCTTCAGAAGCCTCCGTACCCACTGATGATGGTCCCCGAATGGCTCAAGGTCCAGCATTTCCCCAGAGATGTTTTTACAGGCTCCGGTGCCAAGGACACTTCCTGTCAGTTTAGGCAAATTCATATCCTTGCTGTTGAATCCAACGAGAAGGCCCAGGCCCAGGGCAGTCAAAAGCTAGGGGCGGCTTTTGAAAACCCATTCAGGTCCAGTAGAAGCATGGCTCATAAAATGGGGTTCGCCTCTCGTTTGGAATCCCAGTCAATAATCCTAAACACAATAGGGGGGACCTGCGGTGCCCTTGGAGGGGGTGGCGCTGAGCGAAGGACTCTTGCTCTGTGCTATTCTGGGCCAGAACAGGTATTTGGCATTTTGCTGGCGCAGGGTGGGGTTATGGCATCATCCTCCCAGGCTGAAATAATTACCTGTGCAAGCTGGAATGGGCACTTTTTCAAGTGGGCACAGCACAAACACTGGGCCGATTATCCCCATGCCCAGAATGCGATGTCATTCTGCCCTTTCAGATGCAGGCTATCGGCTGCCCTGCTGCTCCATCCAACGTCCTTCTGAGGACCAGGACATTCAGGCTCAATTCAGCCTCCGAGTGCCTGGGAAGCCTGCAGTCCCTGGCACACTCCTGGGAGGATGAAAGCAGATGAATTTTTAAACAACAAAGTGAGGCTGTATTTGTGTGCGTGTTTGATAATGGTCCAAACTTTAATAGCATGGAAAAATATTTATCTTACTTTTATAGCCAGCATGCAATCAATCCATAGCACACTGACAGAATTGAGAAAGATCGAGGTCTATACTCAGCCACAGCTTGATGGAACCACTCAACGTTTAAAGAATATATACATTTATCAGTTAATGGGAAATGCAGACCCATTGCCAGAAGTTACTTTCCTGAGATCAGGGGAAGAAGGGAGCTCCCAGGATCACAGTCCTTCATTCTGCAGACTCTCCCCTCTTCTAAGCCACAGAGTAAAGGGCTATATCTCTGGTTTGGGGTTTTAAGAAGTTAATTGTCTTAGCAAATTGGCCCATTCAAGTTAATCTCCCTCTTGGACACTGAGTAGCCTTGAATAGCTTTGTTTCGCTGAAATTCCCAATCCCCTTTTTGATAAATGATGTCAAGTGGGTACAGGAGACAGGGTTGGGGTGGGTGGAGGATCGGTAATAAATATTATGTAAATATTGATTATTAAAGACAAATGAAAGATCCTTACTTCTTGGATTTTATCATAAGGAGGTGGAAAGAGGGACCAATCATGGGAAATCAGCAACTACTGAATTAGATGATGTTAGAAACGGAAAGACTCAAGAGTCCATTGTCTTCATCTTCCAGATGAAGAAACTGGGAATGGACCGAGCCACACAGATACTGGAGTGGGAACTGATCCATCCTCTCCCCAGGGCCAAAGCTCTCCCAGGGTCTCCGGGCAGCAGATGGAAGGAGGCAGAAAGTAGAGGGTTAGGAAAGTTACGGAAGGCACATTGTGGGGCTGTTGCTTCTTGCTCACAGGCGGTGCATGCAGGGAGAGAATCCCTACGGGTTTGTGACTGTGAATGTGTGTCTGGCTGTGTAAGGAAGAGCTCTGTCCCCCTTATTATAAATTCCAAGTGAGCACAAGGAGTTCGGAAGTCCAGGAGATCAACAATGGCTACCCATCGTTTACCCTTCCTGTTTTCTATTCTAATAGTATATACAGTATGAAAAGTACAGATGGTGCCAAGACACCACCATGCAGGAATTCTGTGGTTATTTTCAGCACAAAAGATTTCTCCACCAACAAAGAATTGGCTTTATTCCAAATGAGACTTTAAATTGTGCTTTTCTTTTTCTTTTCTCCTTTCCTTTTCTGTAAAATGGTGACTCTTTCGCAGGAGAAATAGTTTTTTTCCATAAATGCAAACCGTTGGGGGCGTCTTGTGTTTCACATGGTTGTGAGGAGCCCCAGCTTGATTTTGAACTTGAGTCGATTTGGCTGTTGAATTTATCATCTGGAAAGAAGCGGGGACAGAGCCTGCTGAGTCCCTGCAGCTGCCTCCAAAGTGACTTACTCCCCAAATACAGAGCCAGCTCCCTTCTTGATGATAAATGAACTGAACGAAGTGGTAATTTTCTTAATTACATTCTGCTTTGTATCTGGGTAAGAATGATGATCTATATGATCGGGGCCCAAACGTTAAGCCGGTTTCTCCTCCTCATTTTCTGACACCTGAGGAGGACCTCACGCTGCCCTTTCTGAGCACTGGCCATACAGAGCAGGACCCAGACGATGACCCCACGGTGGCCCTCCTCCCTGCGAGCCCTCTCCCCTCTCCCGTGGATTAACTGCCCTGTGGCAATCTGTCAAAATGGAGCAAATTCTGCTAAGACTGTGTCAGAAAGAGACGATTAAAGAAAAAAAAAAAAAAAAAAGAAAAAACCACTGTTGGAAAGCTACCCTCTTACCTGAGAAATCATCCCGTAAACCCCCCCTTCCCCCCATTCAAAGATTTTATTTGTGGCTGTTTGGAGACCATTCCTTGCTAGGGATACTTCGATAAAACCTCCACAGGCCATCCAGATGACTGTGTTGTCATTGAAGCTGTTAAGGATAACTGTACGCAGATCCAAAATAACAGAGGACGTCATTTTATTGGCTGTCCACAGGAAGTTTGGTCACACAAGGAGGTGGAAACTGTGGCAGGCGTGGTACAACACAATAGCTCATCTAACTACTAAACAGAAGGTTAACTGATACTTGATAGGCTAAAACCCCAGCAGCCCTCTGCAGCCCGGGCGCCACCTACCCCTGTCTAAGTAAGCTCAAGAAGCGGGCGAGTGATGCCATTGTCCATTAGCCTCGGTGTGTCGCACTGTCTTCCCATAAAACAGCACTGGAAAATTCACCAAATTAGAAGAAAGAAAGCAAGCAAGCAGCATTTCCTTTTGAATACCAACACCACTTGTAAACAGACGTAGCGTGGCATGCAAATCCAGATCTGGTCATTTTTTTTTCCCCCTTTAGGTTTTTGGTTTTGTTTTGTTTTTTTGTTTTTTTAATTAACAAATGGAATGGTATGTCTGTTTCAAATATTAGTAGCATAACACGGAAGTGCAAATTCAGTCTGGCCACCAGTGTCCTCAACCTTCCCGCGTGTCTGTCCCGAGAGCCCCGGGCGGACCGCAGAACATCCAGCCGAACACGGTCCTTTCCTCCCAGACTCGGCCTGCAGCCCCGGAAACTGCTCCTTTCTCCCCAGGCCCACCCCTCAAATGCCAATCGCCCGAAAATAGCCACTTGGCCATTTTCATTGTTATCAAAGCAGTCAGGGTGGGGAAGAAAATTCAACTCGACCCAAGCCGCAGGCATTGTGGGCCCTGCCCTCCTCTGCCCTCTGAGGAGGATCCATCTGCTCTCCGAGGGGTCTTGGTGCTCCAGGCCCCGGAGTCGTCCTCACCCACCGGGGAACTGGGTCATGGGAAAGCTCCCGCCATCTGCCACCCCCCTCCCCCGCCCCCTTGGGCTGTGGTCACACGGAGCTGAGCTTCACCAGGCCGCGCACCGAGTCCTCGTGCAGAGAGTCCTGGCTGGCCAGACCCAGCACGTGCATGGTGCGGCTGTGGGCCAGGGGGCTGCCCGCCAGCATCCTGGGGGGTGAGGGCGCTTCCTCTGGGGTCAGGAACTGGTGGCCCACGTGCTCCTCTTTCAGGGGCAGTACGTCTGTGAGCGCGGCCTCGGCAGTGAGGTTGGGCATGGAGGAGGGCGGCGTGGGCTGCCCGAGAGTCAGGCTGGCGCAGGGCGTGCCCAGGCCCGGCTTCCCGGGCAGGTGCAGCTCGTCGCTGGTGAGGCTGGGCTCGCTCTGCAGCAGGGGCGTGGCCGCGGCCTGCAAAACGAATTTGGTGCTCTGAATGCACTGGTCTTGGTCGCACTGGAGAGCAGGGGGAGCCAGCAAAGAGAAGGCGGAGATGCGCCCGGCACAGGGTGGGGAGGGAAGGGGGCACAGGAGGAAGAGGGGAAGGGGATGGGGAAGGGAGGGATGCGAGAGAGCGAGAGAGAGAGAGAGAGAGAGAGAGAGAGAGACCTGTTAGTGACACCTCGGTCAGGCAAGGCAGAGAGCGTGCTCAGTAGCCCAGTATCAGCCGGAGACACCCAGCGCTCGGTGAATACCAGCGCCTGCACCTAAATCAGCCGCTGGAGGGACTCATCACCCACAGGGGCCCAGGGAGTCATGCGCAGCCGGAGGCCACCATGCTCCTGGCCCTTGGTCCCAGACACGACCTAATTAAGAAACAATCCCAAGGACAGAGTCACAGGCCTTACCACCTAGAGCTGTCTCCCGTGGCTGTCGCTCGCACACTGAAAACCACTTTGACTCTATCGTTTTACAAATACAGGGGCCTGTACCCACGCTCATAGCAGTGTCAGTCACAACAGCCAAAAGGTGGAAGCCGGGGTCCGTCCACAGATGAGCGGACCGACAGCACGTGGTCTGGACAGACAATGGACCGTGGCTGAGTGCAGACAGGAGGGAAATCCTGACACACCCTACGACACGGATGGACCCTGGGGACATGGTGCTGAGTGAGGTAAGCCAATCACAAATGGGCGAACGGTCTATGATTCCACTTCCATGTGTACCCGGAACTTAACTTCCCAACGACAGAAAGTAGAAAGAAGGGGGGGTGCCCGGGCCTGGGGGGAGGGGAGAGGGAGCCAGTGTGCCTGGGGACAGTCTCAGTTTTGAGGGATGAAGAGGCCTGGTGGTGGACGGTAGTGCTCTTGGCACAACCCTGTGAGCGGACTTATTGCCACCGAACTGTTCACTGAAAAATGGTTAAAATGGTAAATTTTGTGTTTTGTGTATTTTACTACAAAAAAGAAAGAAAGAAAGAAAGACAAGCCCCTCAGGGTCTGATCAGACTGTTGTTCACAAAGCCCCAGAATTCCCCACTGCTAAATTTCCATCCACTTCGAGAACCGTTAATTGAGCTTCTGTGGGTTTTTTTAATCTGTGAAAGAGAATGCCAACATTTTACATGATGTTTCCTTTTCTTCTAAACGTTCTTATGTCTTATGCTACACCTCATGTCCTTTCCCTCACTTCACTCACTGGGCAAAAGAAATGGTGTAAACATATTTTTAGCTGCTCGATTGTGGAACGTGGAGCGTGGAACCCTCCCTGGAGCAATGGGGCAGGTTTGGGATCAGCCAGAAGAGACCTCGGTGGCACTCAGAGGACTTGAACTTGAGTGTGTCCAGTAAGTTCTTAGGGATTTTCAGGAACCACTCTTCCACTGGAAGGAGGAGGAACGGGTGTGACTTTAGGTTCAAGCGGTAAGCTAGGCACTGCACTGAGTTTCTTCAGAAGTTCTTAGAACAAACACATTTCCCCTCTTTGCCAGTGAAGACCCTGAGGCTGAAGTGAATGAGTGGCTTGCTCAACCTTACAGATACGAGTAAGGCAAGGACCCAGGATCTGGGTTTGCTTGACTGTAAACCTCTTTCTACTACTGCATGTGACACACAGTAGGTACTTCATAAACCTTCCTTGTCTTATTATCCCCTCCGCTCTTTTTCAGAACGTTCGCCTGAGTTCCTGTAGGACCTGTGCTAATGGGTTTGCGATGGAGGTGCCTCACCATCC